TTGTGGTGATCATTTAAGGCAAGCTTGTCCAACCTCAGCCCAGGACAGCTTTGAATGAGGCCTAAGCACAAATTTGTAAACTTTCTTAGAACATTCTGAGATTTTCTTATTTTTTTTTTTAAGCTCACCAGCTATTGGTAGTGTTAGTGTATTTTATGTGTGGCCCAAGACAATTCTTCCAATGTGATCCAGGGAAACCAAAGGGCTGGACACCCCTGATTTAAGGTATATACATTTATATAAGAATATAGAGGCCCTTGTGCATGGAGAGTGTGTGTTACTATCTTCGGTGTCTGGTGTGGTGCCTGGCACTCCACAAATGTTCAAAGAATTAATTCTACATTCACGTATGCAATATTTTATAAGTATATGGTAGAGAAGAAGTGGAGATAATGTGCCTTTTAGGGGAAGGAGAGCCAACTCCTTGTCTAGGACACAACACCTATTTTTAAAATGTCCGTATCAGTTAGCAGTGTGGTTTTTGTTTGTTTGTTTTGTTTTTGAGACAGAGTATTGCTCTGTCGCCCAGACTGGAGTACAGTGGCACTATCTTGGCTCACTGCCACCCTCTACCTCCTGGTCTCAGGTGATCCTCCTGCCTCAGCCTCCTGAGTAGCTGGGATTACAGGTACACACCATGATGCCCAGCTAATTTTGTATTTTTAGTAGAGACGGGGTTTCACCATGTTGGTCAGGCTGGTCTTGAACTCCTGGCCTCAACTGATCCACCTACCTTGGCCTCCGAAGGTGCTGGGATTACGGGCATGAGCCACCGTGCATGGCTGTTAGCAAAGCGATGTGTTAATGATTGGTTCAATACCCTGTGTGTGTGTGTGTGCGTGCACGCACGTGTGCATGCATGTGTGTGTATGTATGCGTGCTTGTGTGCATGTGTGTGTTTGTGTATGTGAGAGAGAGAAGAGCATGCCACTCTGCAGCCTTACCCCTGCCCTCCTTCTGCAACATTCTTTATAAACTAATTTCAGAGGTGTCATGTCATCACCTCCGCTTTGTGCCATTGGTCACTCACACAGACCAATTCTGGGACAGTGGGAAGTGATGACCCAAAGGGATGAATGTCAGGAGGTTAGGATTATTGGGGCCATCTAAGAGGTCATTTTCCAATGTTTTTATAGTCTCAGATCTGAAGTTAGGATGGTTTCTCTAATACTACTTTTACTTTTTTAAACTTTAAAGTTCAGGGGTACATGTGCAAGTTTGTTATATAGGTAAACTCATGTCGTGGGGGTTTGTTGTATGGATTATTTTGTCACCGAGGTGTTAAGCCTAGTACCCATTAGTTATTTTCCCTGATCCTCTCCTTCCTCCCACCCTCCACCCTCTGTCCTTCAGTCAGCCCCAGTGTGTATTGTTGCCCTCTATTGGCTCCCACTTATAAGTGAGAACATGTGGTATTTGGTTTTCTGTTCCTGTGCTAGTTTGCTAAGGATAATGGCCTCTGGCTCCATCCATGTTCCTGAAAAGGACATGATCTCTCTTTGTTTTTGTTTTTAATGACTGCATAGTTCTAATAGTACTTTTGGAGAAATCTAAGAATTAAGAAATAATCTGGCAATACTATTTTTGCTGTTTTCCTTTACAGTATATATTTCTCTTTAATAAGTACAAAAGCATACGTTTTTTTTTTGAACTTGCTTATTCAGCCGGCATTTTATTTTAGCTTTTTATTATGGAAAATTTCAAAGTTTAGAAAGGAGAGAGAACTATAAAATTAACTTCCATGTACTCAGTACCCAGTTTCAATAATTATCAATTCACAGCCAATCCTGTTTCATCCATACCTAAATATCCCCCTGACTCTTATTTAGAAACAAATTCCAGGCATAATATCATTTCATTGTATATATTTCATATGTCTCTCTGAAAAACAGGGAGTCTTTTAGACATCACAATACTAAAAAATAAAAGCAATAATTTCTAATAACATCAATACTTTTTAATAACATCATATCTGGGGTTCAGAGTTTTTTTATTGTCTTATCCTTTAAAAATATATTTTTTAGTTTGTTTGAATTTGGCTCCAACATTACAATTTTCAAGATCTTTATGTTTTAGTCTTAGAGTCTTAGGATTTTAGATTAGAAAGTTGACTTTGGTCATTTCATCTGTCCCTACCTTTTTAGAGATGAGAAAAATTGCCAAGGGTCACAGGGCTGGCTCATTTAAGATTGGAACCTGGACCTTCTGATTCTTAAACTCAGGTGCTTTTTGTTTTAAGAAACGTTTGGTTTCTGTGCATTATAAACAAGACATGAATATAAACCCACATCTCTAGGACTTGGGTGTTCAAACATGAAGGTTTGAGGTTCCTTTATTCCAGCTACGAATCCTGCTCAGAGCCATGTGTTGGCTGTAACCAGTGTTCTCCCCTTTTGTCACCTTTTTAGAAAGATTAGCTCTGAAGCATGACTATAAAGTCAATGGTGCTGACTTTTTCACAAACATCCTAAATCTCTCCCAGTCTAGTGTGCTAAATTTGCTGACTTCCTCACTTAGTCTTTTTGGTTTCTGGCATTTTTAAGTGTATATATTCTGTTCCTCATATTTACTTAACAGTGTGGGCTGGAAATCACTCTGTGTCCATTCATAGTGATCTTCTTCAGTCTGTTTTTATACTATTGGATTGTTTTAAAAGCTTTTCTAAAATGTCATGGATTTGGTTCTATGTTAGGAACTTTTTGTCGCACTTGTTTTGCCAGAAGCTTTAGGATGCCATGGCATTCTCTTTCATCACAAGTCCCTGATGAGGAGCTCTTAGCTTTGCATTGGAACAGGGTCTTTGCTGCACTGAGGAGGAGCTCTTAGCTTCGCATTGGAACAGGGTCTTTGCTGCACTGATGAGGAGCTCTTAGCTTCGCATTGGAACAGGGTCTTTGCTGCACTGAGGAGGAGCTCTTAGCTTCACATTGGAACAGGGTCTTTGCTGCACTGTTTGCCTTTGTCCAGCTCCCAGGTTGGATCAACAGTTAGTTTTGCCATTCATGGGGCTAGATCTCCTACCTCTTGGAGGGCCATGCTGGGCTTTGGGAGCGAGCTTGGGCAGGACTTGGGACACTTAAATCCGGAAGAATTCTGAGAATCCTTGCCATGAACTCAGGCAAATGTTCGTGGTTGCTCTTCCCTGTCCCCCGCAGGCCCGCCAGCTCATCCTGCAGTATGGCTTGACCCTCAGTGACCTGGATCGACACCCAGAGGTAAGATCGCCACTCAGAGGCAGACCACTGAGTATTTCTCTCCGCTTTTTTGTGGCTGTCACTTGTTTGTGGGCTCCAGATATCTTGTCAAATCTAGGGAAGATGTCAGTTAGTTGTACCAAGTTTTCTCCCGGGACCTTGAATATTAATTTTGGCTGAGGTCACAAGTGCCGAGGTGGTTCCTTTCCACCACATTCCTTGTGGTTTAACCCCGAGGGCTCAGTGTGAATGTAGTGAAGGGAAATGGGCAAGCCCAGGGCTGCATCCAGGGCTTCCTGAGATCTTTGCGCAGAGGTATAAGAGTGAGCCAGCTCATGGAGCTTGCCACTAAGTGGAAATAAGGAAGACTCATCTGAGGCAGCCATGGACATTTGAAAACATTAAAATTAAGTTTTGTGGTAAAGACTAACATGGGGCAGTCCAGGGGAGACTGACGTTGATGAGGGTGAGCAGCATCACACACCCTAGCTGGCATTTTTTGAGTCATTATTATGTACCAGCTTTTGTGCTCAGTGCTGTACCTGTATTAAACTTTGATCTCCAGTATTCGTGAAGATAGGATACCATAATTTTCCCATTTTATAGATGTGAAAAAGGCACAGAGAGGGTAAGTCATATGGCTAATGCCACAGTTTTTAAGTGGCAGAATCAGAATTTGAACTCAGGCACATCTATTCTAGACTAATGCTAGTTTGAGTTTTTTGGGAAGAGGTAAAGTTTGAATTGGGCTGTAAAGGCCAGGTGGCAAGGGCAGGAGAGAACATTCCAGAGGGTGGTAGATGGGAGCCACAGGAACAGCTCCACATGGGCAAATGGACACTGCTCAGACTGGCTGGGGTGATAGGACAGAGTGAGTGTACTGCGTTGGTGCATAGTGGGGAGAGGGAAAGCAAAGCTGGATAGGAAAAGTGGGGTGGTTTTAAGGCACCTGGAAAACGAGGCGGGGGGTTGAGACTTGATGGTGATCTGGTAGCCCATGTTTCTGTCATACACATGGGCCTCACAGGGGTTAGTAAGAACTATGGGAAGGACTTGGAGATTTCTGTGGGCAGAGCCAGGGCACAGGCTGATCATGTGTTCAGCAGCTGTGAAGAGAGTGGTTTGGGCTGAAGGTGGGCCTGGAGCCCAGACAGAAAAGGTTGCCACTTTCCATACCCCTGAGAATTGCCACAGTGCAGCCTGACTCGGGTTAATGCAGGCTGTGGAGAGCAGTGCTGACTGTAACTTCAGACAAAGACTGGAGTCTGTAAAAGCCTGGAAGCAAGCATGACCCATATGGACCTGTATTTTTTATACCTGTGCCATGCCAGCCATGCCAGGCAACTTAGTAACTGCACCATGAATAGAATTTATACCCTGCATACTGCTTGCTCTCTTTAAAAATATACTTGGGGTTCCTACATTGTCCATGCGGATACCGTGAGTGGTGAGAAATATGTAACTTTCTTGATTTTGATTTTTGAAAGCTAGATGAACCCATTTGCCCCTCATCCGCTTTAGGGGCTTGTGGTGAAGCTTCCTAATAGAGGGAGCGAGCAAGCCCAGACAAGTGGGGTCTTAGTGGCAATGCCCCAGATAATTTCCAGTTCGGGAACACGTCAACTTTCTTACGTATCTCTTCATTTGATCTTTATGTCCACTTGAACTTGCCTGTGAGGTTGCTCATAGTACAGAGACTTCTGAATCCGTTTTTTTTTTTTTTTTTTTTGCACTTTCCCACCCCCAGTGGAATTTAGTAGGACAGATATTACTGTATTGACCCTTTGGTTGGACAAGACTCATTGTAATATCTAAGATTTTTTATTCCCCCACCAAAAACCAATTTTTGCCTCTTTGGGGAGGTGATAGCACCCACACTGAGAACATATGTTCTAAATAGTGCCAGGTTGTCCACAGGGAAGGCCATCAATGAGAAAAGGGAACATAGTCTTGTGGGTAAGAACTGTACCCTGGTTAGAGTCCCAAGTCCTGTGCTGTTTCCCTTTGATCCTAGTGGAGTGCCTTAATCTCTTGTAGCTCAATTTCTTGATTTGTTAAATGGGAGTACTGGAATTAGCTAATAGGGCTGCTGAGTATCTGAGGAGCTATTGCACACTCGGGCAATTAGCACAGAGCCTCCCCTCAAGTGGTTTTTGTATCTTTACTTTCCCCCCGATGCAGATCGACCTTGCCATCGATGGTGCTGATGAAGTAGATGCTGATCTCAATCTCATCAAGGGCGGCGGGTGAGTGTGGTGGGGGCTTCTGTGCTAAAGAGTATCTGCCAGTTAATCCTTAGCAAAGCAAGATGGACACAGAATAAACAAATTGCCACTGTGACGTATGCAAGTTTGGCTTTCTCCTGGAATATTAATAGCATATGGCCTTGGACCCAACTCGGCATTTCTGGTCATTAGCAGCAATTTAGTGACGAGGAACCTGGGCCTCTTTAGTGGGATCATTCATCGTAATGGATTCCCTGTGGATCTGTGTTCTTTTGTTGATTCAGACTTTAAAAACGTAAGGCCATATCAAAATAATATTGGCTAGATTATTAGGTCTGTGGGCACCAGTGTGTGACTTTTGCTTTGAAGCTGTGCTTACCTCTGTGAGCAGTTAGGGATATTATTTGTTCCTTTGGAAAACATTAATTGGGTATTTCTTAAGTGCCGATTTGGGGAGTGGTAGGAATGGTGAGTTGAAAAAGGTGAAATCCTGTTCTGCTGGCTCTTATAATCAAGCAGACTATGGAGTGATGCGGCATTTGTTTAAAATCACACTTTACTGTTTATTAGATTTTCTTATGTGTTATTTAATCATGTCAACTGCAGATGTGAGATAATTTAGCTGCTAAACCGTAGAGGTAGACCTGGACCCAAATCTGCTGATTCAGTGCTCTGGGCTGTCTCCACTTCATCACCCTCATTGGCAAATAGTCGATTGGGCAGGTTGTTCAAAGCATGCCCTCAGCTTCTAGGCCCTCCCATTCATGCCATGTCCAGATGACGTCTCCCTGTACACAATGCTTCCTCTCAGATGCATTTGGATGGAATTATGCCTGGCCTGAATGGGAACCTTGTCTGCTTTCTAGGTTTCTTCCAGACACAGGGTAATGTTTCTAGAGTCCATTTACTAGGAGCAGCATGATGGGACTGGGGATGTCCCTTTGAAAATTAAAAGTTAAGTTTCTCTTTAAGTGCCAGGATTGAGTGGATTTGGGATTCCTGTATGTGACCTTAGTTCCCAAACTGAGATTTTTGTCTTACTCCTGTGTTCTTTGCTTCCTTCCTGTCTGCAGAGGCTGCCTGACCCAGGAGAAGATTGTGGCTGGCTATGCTAGTCGCTTCATCGTGATCGCTGATTTCAGGTAGTTTCTGGTGTCTGAACTGCCAACTGAGGAGGTAGATTGGAGCCCCAAGCCTCATCCTCATTTTTGTGAAGGAGGAAATGGAGAGCTGCAGGGACTCTGACTTTCTGAGACTGATTGCTAGGACTTAGTACAGTGTCTGGGAGACCTTATGTTCTGCTTCTAGGCTGAAGGTAGATGTTGCTAATCACACCACTGTTATCTGCAGCCAGGATCTCTAGCATTGTTTCACGTGTTCAGTGGGACGGGGAAACAGCTTTTCACCCTGTTAGCAGAGCATGCTCTCGTGTGTCATGTCACTCACTGGATCCTCACAGGGAGCCTCAGGGTGTGCCCTGCCCATGGGCAGTGACTCAGCATGCCCTGCTTCTTCTCAGGTCAGGGTTTGCCGCAGGTGACTGGTGTCATTGATAGTCTTTGGCCAGGCTCTCAGATGAGCATCTGAGAGGAATCTGGTCAAAAGCACTGTGCTGAGCATGTTAATTTCAAATATGTGCATGTGTGTATTTGCTTGTGAAATATAGCCACAGGAGGAGCATAAATATTAAACACCTACATACCTACAAGCCAGCAATATCAGATTTTAACATTTTTGTCATATATATTTCAAATAGCTCTTTTCCTATATAGTGAAACAGCTAATTCATTTGAAGCCCTGTGTATACTGCCTCTGATCACTTTCCTTGCCTTCCTACCATCTAATTAACCCCATTCCTGAATTTGGTGTTTGCCTGTACTATTGAGCTTATTTACTTTTATTTCACTTTTTGACTCCTCCTTTCCAGGAAAGATTCGAAGAATCTCGGGGATCAGTGGCACAAGGGAATCCCCATCGAGGTCATCCCAATGGCCTATGTCCCAGTGAGCCGAGCTGTGAGCCAGAAGTTTGGGGGCGTGGTTGAACTTCGAATGGCTGTCAACAAGGCTGTGAGTGGCCTGGTTGGGCCGGGGGTGTCCTGGGTGCACTCAGGTTTTCAGTATGGTGTGCTCCCTTCTGTTCCAGTTAGGTCCTCTGTGCCTCCACCAGGCAATTGGCTTTTATTTATTTTTAATTGATGTATTTGTTTATTTTCAGAGAGTTGGCCCTGTTAGTTTCTGCATTCAAACTCTTGTAGACAAGACCACACTTAATACAGTGCATCTCCTTTGTACAGACAGGGGAATGATTCTTTCTCTGTGCCTCACATGCTGACATCCCACAGGTGATCTGACCTTTGTGCCTGAGGCCTGGAACACCCTGATTGGCAGCTGTGAAACACTGGCTTTGGGAACCCATTTGAAGCAGAAAGTTTTTTAGGTTTCATGGTGTAACTTCTTTTCTCCCTCTTCTTTCCTCTCATTCTGTGGTTAAATGTGACAAGAAGTAGAATTTCCTGGGTTGTGTGAACTCTTCCCCAGGAACACACTCCAGATGGTCCAGATTTTTCATGTTTCTCTTTAGCTTCTCAAGTGGATTGCACAGAACTTTTCCCTCTTTTTGCACTTAAATAAGCAAGCAAAGAGCAATCCAGAAGCTAACCACAGTTACATGTGTAACTACATAAACACTTTGGAGGATAGCGAACAGATCTGTCACCCTACCCTGATACATTTTTATTTTAATATACTTTGTCCCCAGTGTTTCTGTGACTTTTAAAAAAACCATAGTTCTATTCCTAGTGGTTGTATGGTGCTCTGACTGACGTTCATATTGTCGGGCATGAAAGAAATGCAGCACGAAATGGAGAAGTGGTTCGACCTTGACCCTGTCAGAGTTCTTATTTGAAAGCCACGTTGCTACTAGTGTTCTTATTGTCTTTTGGATTCTGTTTCTTGCCCTTTTTCTTATTGGCCCAGTAGTAACTTAAGGAAGCAGATAAGAACAATAAATTTTGGACTAAAGGAAGTAAGAACAATGAACCAGAAATCAGATAGGAATGTGGTGATAATTGTGACATGTTCACATAGTCATAGTGGGAGCTCATGTGAGTAAAAATAGCTTGATACATTTGTTAAGAGGCTTGTATTCTGTCTCTACAAAGACTACAATCTAAGTCTGATTTCAAAGCTCCTGCTTATTACCACTTCACAGCACACCTTCTAAGAAAGCATAAAGTGGGAGCTGGTTAAAATGCATACTTGTCTTTTGTTGTCCCCTCTACTTTCCTGTCCTTCTCTGCCTACCTGTATCTGCATCCTTGGTCATTGTGGAAAATTATCTTCTAGGGTCCTGTGGTGACAGATAATGGGAATTTTATCTTGGACTGGAAGTTTGACCGGGTACACAAATGGAGTGAAGTGAACACAGCTATCAAAATGATCCCAGGTAACATGAGTGGCATTCAACAGGCATGTACACACCCATGCCCTTCATAACTGGCCCCTACATCTGGCTAAGGAAGGCACAATGGACATGGGCTTTGTAAGGCTTGGTTAGAAAGAAGAATTCCCTTTATACCGTGTTTGGATTTTTAACTTCACCTCCTTTGCTGTATTCCCTTCCCCCAACAATTGTTGCTTACCTAGCAGCTTTGTTGCTTGTGCATTTCACAGCCTGTTTGAGTTGGGATAGTCCTGAAGCTGATGGAAGTTCAGAGGGGACTTGCCTTGAAATAAGGCCATCATCTCTGGGTAGAACCTTTCCTTCCAGGAGCTGGACTGCAACCTCTTTTTGTGGACTCTCTTAAGCAGGGGGGGAAAATGACTCAATTAATCCACATTCATTGGATGCATGCCAAAGGCAAGATGTTGTGCTGTGTGTTACAGGGGATACTTCAATTTGGAGGACTTGTAATCTGTCCTTAAGGAGAATTGATGTAAACCTGCGGAAATCTATGTATATGTGTAGAAGCCATGCCTACAAATAAGACAGAATGTGCTAAATTCTACTAGAGGAATACCAAGAGTCTGGAGTGCACAAAAAGGTTCTTTTTGGCAGAATGCGAGGATGTTTTATAGTGTAGAGGTGGTTTTTCACCCGTGCCTTGGCATAGCATAAGTTAGACATGGTGCTAAGTGTCTAAAAATGTTTCCTTTGATTCCTGCTTTGATGAGGTAGTTATAGAGGAGGACACTGGCTGAGGAAGGTTAAGCTGTTTGCCCAAAGACAGCACCAGGATGGGCACCCTAAGTTGTCTGCCACTAGACCCCAAATGTTTAATGCTTACTTGCTGAAGCACCAGGTGAGGAGAGTCTGTGTGAAATGAACATTTAGAGCCTTAGGGGGCCTCTAATGCAGCTGCGCCAGGGAATGATGGAATAAGAGCCAGGATGGGGCCCTGCGTGAAGGATGGGTGGGCAGTGTAGAGATGAGTTACGAGGCTGGAGCCCTAGTCCAGGCTAGAGGAGGTATCAAGGACTCGTACAAGGGGATTAAAAGGAAGAGGCAGTCTTGAAGAGGTATCAGCTTCTTAGGATATTGCGAGACTAAGAGGCTAACGGAATATTCCCTAACATGGAATATTCTTGGGCTGAAACTGACTGACAGACAGGACCTTCCAGACCAGTTTCGTGGAGCAGACTATTCTGGGTAAGGATCCTAACCCAGCTGTGCTCTGGCGTGTTACCTTTTAGCAGTGAGTTAACATCTCTGTGCCTGAGTTTCTTCCTATGTAGAAGGGGCTAGTTAATTCTAGTACCTACCTTATAAGGTTATTGGGTGGATTAAATGAGTTAAAACAGTGCCCATTGCAGAAGGGAAAGTGTTTGTTGAATGAATAAATTCCTTGAAAGAAAGGTACTATTGTTACTATTAATTAAATATACTAAGAGTCTAAGATACACCTGTGCTAGTTGGGATTTAAAATAGTGTGAATATAAGGTGTGTAATGAAAAGCTAGTTCTTCCAGTTCTACTTTATTTATTTATTTTTTGAGACAGGGTCTCGCTTTGTCACCCAGAAGGGAGTGCAGTGGTGTGATCATGGCTCACTGCAGCATTGACCTGGGCTCAAACAATTGTTCCGTTTCAGCGTCCCCAGTAGGTGGGACTACAGACGCACACCACCACGACCGGCTAAGTTTTGAATTTTTTATAGAAACGAGATTTCACAGTGTTGCCTAGGCTGGTCTTGAACTGGGCTCAGTGTCTGCCTTGGCCTCCCAAAGTGCCAGGATCACAGGTGTGAGCCGCTCTGCCTGACCCCAATTCTGTTATTTTATTTTAGTCTGTTATTTTATTTTAGTTTTTTATTGACAGTCTTTTACCACGTTAAGTCAAAAAGATGAGTTGGCTTATACTCATTTTCTTGGTTAGTGTTCTCTTTTTAATGGAAGAACTAAACAGCCAAGAAGGTAGGAGGAAGAGAAGATTTGCAGATCACTGTTAGTAAAGTGGGAGAACTTGCCCTTGGTGATAATGCAGACAAACCCAGGGCCCCAGGAGGAAAGGGCTCACCAATGTGGGTGCGGTATAGGTGGATTTCTTGCAGTGCCCACTAGGTGTCACTCTTGCTCCTGGTTAGACCTTTCTCGGCTTCTTAAGATTCTGAGATGACCTTTGTAAGGAAATTTCCCTCGTGTGATTCTTCAAACAAAAATATGTGGAAATTGCATCCTAAAGATGTTCACAGTTTTGTTAGGAACTTAGAGTGAGGAAAATGATAAAAGAGGCTAGCTATTAAATCATATAATGGAGTATCTACAGGACGATCAGAGTGGTTTGCTGTATCTTTTCTCATTTTTTCTTTTCCTGATTGAGTCTATTAGATTTACGGCTGGACCAATATCAGGAGAAGAGAAGCAGGGCGAGTTTCCCTGTTTATCTCTGTTACCATGTGTATTCATACGCAGTATGTGAGGACGCTTGGAGAACAGCTTCCTTTGATGTTTTGTTGTGTTCCACCCAGAGCAGAGTGACTCTGAATGGAAGGACCGGGCTACTGGAGTTCTTTCCCCTAGGTTCACATTTAGCATCCTCTGCTCTTTCCACTATATTTGATCGGGGATTTGGGGGAGGTCAGTCACACCGAGTATCTCAGTAATTGAAAGAGAAGTTGCTCTAAAGTCTTACCTTAGACTCCTGCCCATTCATCTCTGCTCTTTCTTTAAAGTCTTTTCTGAACCTGGTTTAACTGTCTTTTAGATCAGTGGAAGCTTTCTCCTTATATTGCAGACATTTTGAAAAGAACGGGTCTTGAGTGGCTCCTTTGCTCATCTTTGGAAGGATCCAGTTGCACAGGCACAGTTTGGTGCCAGGGACCTTTATTTGTGTTCAGCACCTCTTTGCTCTGCCTGTTGGCTTTTCGTCACTGGATCAGTACTCCATTGTATTCGTTTATTGGGAGCTATCTTTGGGAGTTTTTTTTTTTTTTAATTTTTAAAAATTATTTCAGTAGTTGTTGGGAAACACGTGATGTTTGGCTACATGGATAAGTTCTTTAGTGGTGATTTCTGAGATTTTGTTGCACCCATTACCCAAGCAACATACACTGTACCCAATGCATAGTCTTTTCTCCCTCATCCCACTCCCACCCTTTCTCCCGAGTCCCCAGAGTCCATTGTATCATTCTTACACCTTTGTGTCCTCATAGCTTAAGCTCCCAGTTTTAAGTAAGAACATACGATGTTTGGGTTTCCATCTCTGAGTTACTTCACTTAGAATGATAGTCTCCAACTCCATCCAGGTTGCTGTGAATGCCATTGTTTCATTCCTTTTTATGGCTGAGTAATATTCCATGCTGTGTGTGTGTGTGTGTGTGTGTGTGTGTGTATGTGTGTTTGTGTGTATATATCACATTTTCTTTATCCACTCATTGGTTGATAGACATTTAGGCTGGTTCCATATTGTTGCAATTGCAAGTTGTGCTGTTATCAACATGTGTGTACAAATGTCCTTTTCATATAATGACTTCTTTTCCTCTGGGTAGATACCCAGTAGTGGGATTGCTGGATCAGATGGTAGTTCTACTTTTGAGTTTTTTAAGGAATCTTCACACGGTTTTCCATAGTGGTTGTACTAGTTTACATTCCCACCAGCAGTGTGGAAGTATTCCCTTTTCACTGCATCCACGCCAACATCTATTATTTTTTGATTCTTGCGGGAGTAAGGTAGTATCACATCGTGGTTTTAATTTGCATTTCCCTGATCATTAGTAATGTTGAGCATTTTTTCATATGTTTGTTGGCCATTTGTATGTCTTCTTTTGAGAATTGTCTGTTCATGTCCTTGGCCCACTTTTTGATGGGATTGTTTTTCTTGCTAATTTGAGTTCCTTATATATTCTAGATATTAGTCCTTTTTCAGATGTATAGATTGTGGAAATTTTCTCCCACTCTGTGGATTGTCAGTTTACTCTACTTGACTATTCCTTTTGCTGTGCAGAAGCTCCCTATTTTAATTAAGTCCCACCTATTTATCTTTGTTTTTGTTCCATTTGCTTTTGGGTTCTTCGTCATGAAATCTTTGCCTAAGCCAGTATCTAGAAGGGTTCTTTTCAATGTTATCCTCTAGAGTTTTTATAGTTTCAAGTCTTCAATTTAAGTCTTTGATCCATCTTGATTTGAGTTTTTGTGTAAGAGATGACAATCCAGTTTCATTCTTCTACATGTGGCTTGCCGGTTATCCCAGCACCATTTGTTGAATAGGGTGTCCTTTCCCCCTTGATGTTTTTGTTTGCTTTGTTGAAGATCAGTTGGCTGTAAGTATTTAGCTTTATTTCTGGCTTCTCTATTCTATTCCATTGGTCTATATGCCTGTTTTTATACCAGTACCATGCTGTTTGGTGACTATCACCTTCTAGTGTAGTTTAAAGTCAGGTAATGTAATGCCTCCAGATGTGTTCTTTTTGCTTAGTCTTGCTTTGGCTATGTGGGCTCTTTGTTATTTCCATATGAATTTTAGGATTGTTTTTTCTAGTTCTGTGTGGAATGATGGCAGTATTTTGATGGGAATGGCACTGAATTTGTAGATTGCTTTTGGCAGTGTATGGTCATTTTCACAATATTGAGTCTACACATCTATGAGCATGGGATGTGTCTCATTGGTTTGTGTTGTCTGTGGTTTTTTTCAGCAGTGTTTTGTAGTTTTCCTTGTAGAGATCTTTCACTTCCTTGATTGGGTATACTTCTAAGTATTTTATTTTTTTTGCAGCTGTCATAAAAGGGGTTGAGTTCTTGATTTGATTCTCTACTTGGTTGCTGTTGGTGTATAGCAGTGCCACTGATTTGTGCACATTGATTTTGTATCCTGAAACTTTACTGAATTCATTTATCAGATCTAAGAGCTTTTTGGATGAGTCCTGAGGGTTTTCTAGGTATATGATCTTTATTAGTGAAGAGCAACCTTTTGACTTCCTCTTTACTGATTTGGATACCCTTTCTTTCTTTC